CTCTTTCCAAAAGCCTTCTTTTGTGCGCCTTGTTGAGGGCTAATGAAAAGCTCTATTGTGCAGCCTTTTACTAACACTCTTTTCACAATTCTGGCTGAGAGAGGAATGTGAATAAAAGGCACAAGCAATTAAGGCGGAAACCTCATCCTTTTTCATGATGTATTTAGGGAAATGGAAAAAAAAAAGTGCACATTGATCAGAAGGCTGCACTTCAGAAAAAAAAAAAAAAGAAAAAAAGGAAAGAAAGAAGATGGGGGTGGAGGAGAAGAAAAGGAAAACAGTACAACCTTGATAAGATCACAGCATTAGACTGGGACAAATTTACAAGCTTGTCCAGAATATGAAGTTAACCAAACTCTGCTCGCTGTTAGTAAACTGAGCCTCACACAGATCAGAAATGGCACTCCCTGGACTACTGTGTTTTCTTTCAGGTAAGAAAAAAAAAATCTTGCTTTAGTTTCAGGGCTTGATCCTGCCACAGGAAAAAAAACCATGTGAAGTTAAGTGCATCAGATACGAGCCTCCAAAATCCCTGCGCCAACTCCACCACATGACTTGTGATTCTATGATTTTGCTTCAGTTTTATTAAGAACTGCATTGTGCTGAATGAAATAAAGGGACCCAGTAAAGGTTTAAGAAAAAGTTGCAGGCGTTTATAAAGAAAAACTACCTGAGATGGCAAAAATCAAGATGGAGACAGGCATGCTTTAATGTTATGGAGTGCTCACTTCTGAGCACTCCTTATGCATCTGATTTGTTAAAATAACGAAACTATTAAGAAAATTGGTAAAAAAATAATAAAAAAATGTTACATGCATTATATTGCTTCTCTAAATGATAAAATGTTTAGGCACCTTCCACTCAAACAAGGATCACCAAGCATTTCTGGTAACGTGCATGATTTCTGTAGCATTAAAACAGCTGCTTGAAATGAGACTACGGAAAAAGCAGAACACTTTATCAGGAAAATCTACCTAAATGTTCCTGTACATTTTACTAGAGAGGTTGATTAAAAATTTTCCTCCATTATTGTGCTTTTTTGAGTGAACTGGGGGAAAAAAAGACAAAAAGGCAATACAGGCTGTTCTGTACAAACATTATTAGTTATTACGGAATCAAAGTTTATAATGGTATCAAGCCTAAGTTACAGGAAACAGAAAACAAAGGGAAAGAAATTTATCTCATGTTTTTGAAATGTTAGAAATAAGCTGTCTTGGTGTATACACGTTCAGGAAAACTGCTAATGTTTATTTTTCCCTTTTATAATGTAACGTTCTTTACCGAGATCTTTTCATTCAAGCATTTTGATCTCCTGTTAGGAATGAAATACTTCTGGAAATGGAGGGCTAGAAAAAAACTGGGCTGGCAAAGCATCTTAACAGATATTTAACTTCAATAAATGTGCTTGCTTATATTTAAGAACATCTTAAATAATGCTTTGCTGACCAAAGCCTCCCAGTCTTTCAAGGCCGGCCAGCCAAGCAATGGGAATCCAAACGTCCACCCAGGCACCTTCGTTCACAAATGTCTTTGCACCAGCACCAGGCCACAACTTCTCTATTTATTTACTGTCAATGGGCAACAGTTTTCCTGACTTGCTTGGCGTTTTTTCCCCAGAGGATGCCATTGTTTCACATTTTCCAATTTTACTTTGCTTTAACTGAGGCATTTACTTTCCATTTCATATCGTGGATTGAATTAGAAATTTCTCTGACTTGAAATTTTCTGGAGACTTATTTTGTGACCCAAGCAGTGGGCCTTAAATGTGTGAAGACATGGAGAAGAAAGAGACAGTAGTCAAAGACTCAGGGTCGATGGTGTTCAGCTGCTTCCACACCAGTAGTAGCTCAAAGGCTAATCCCAGCATCATTCTGAAAGACTTCTCTCTAGAAGAGGACATTTTGTTCAAGAACCAGTCATGAAAGAACATAAAATTATAAATTTCTCAACTGCAAAGAAAAGAATGAGGGAAATGTTTCTCACTAGAATGTTGATTTTACAGCTCATTAAAATTTTTGTTATGAATTATTTGTATTAAAACATACATATTAAAAAATTCACTTCCATGTACTGTCCCACATTCCTCTTCTCTCCATACACATGTATAAGATCAGCCCATCTTCCCACAACTTCATGCTAATTCATAAATCCCACTATTCTCATCTTCCTAAACAGTCAGGCACATTCTCAAACCCTCATCTGTGGTGGTAATTCCTATTCTTTATAGGTCATTTGGTAGATATATCAAGGAGATGCTTGTGAGAGAAGAACGTGCTAAAGTCCCCATGACTGCATGCATGGTCACAACCACTGGCTTTGGTGGTGTAGGTAATGCCTCTGCAACTCTTTAGGAGACTGTGCGAGAAAGCAACTACTGCACCAATACATGCTAATGTAGTTTTTCAGAGTTTTAAGGAAAAAAATCAAATTAATCCTAAAACCAGATTACAGCTGTGCAGAACTAGGCTCTCCTGTCAACCAGGCTGTTTTTTTGTTAGTTCACTCTTTAAAGGATTTTACCATTTTTCCAGTGCTCCAGAACATTTTAAACAAACAAATCTGAAAGGCTTCTGCAACCTATCACGAATCTCTGCATCGCTACGCTTTGGTAATACTCTCTGCTACCTTGTGCTTATCGTAGGGGTTCAGCAATTCTTTCTACGAAGAGAAGTACACCCCGCCTGTGCTGTGACTCTTTTGCAAACGCTACTTGTACACAGTACGTCCACATTACCGCCCCCATGGTACAGACATGGGAGCAGCGAAGACATTGGAAGAAGATACCATAACGAGCAGAGACACCATGGGGGTTAGTGGTCCGCTGCGTTGGCCCTCCTACAAATAGGCATCCCAACAAAAGATCGCCTCTGTCTCAAGGACCTCGCTGTCCACAGAAGACAAACCACAAAAGAGCAAGGAATATGTTCAACGCCATGCCCTGGGTTGCTCAAGAGGCCAGTGGAAGAGCCAAGATGAAAACCCACAGACAACTCTTCAGACAGTGTCCTTCCCAGGGAAGGATCCAGGCCCTGTATCAATGAGGTGGCCAAGCACTTAGACAGCTACATCACATGGTGCAGAAGCAAATGCCACCCCTCAAAATACCAACAAAGGCCTCAAGTCTCCTCTGATAAATATGTACCTGCTCATTCTTTGCTGTTACTCTAGAACATGATACTCTTTCTGCTGTTCTTAAATTTATTCCCACATCAGACCGAAGGTTTCATCTGAGCAGTTTTAGTTAATTCTGAAGTCTGGGAAATGCATGTCTTAACTATTTTGTTACTTCTTCAGTAAATATCTTATTTTTAGACATAAAAAGTTGCTACATTTTTTTCCCAAGCTCTGGGAACATTTCAGGAATGCAAGGCAAGATACAGAGTTATTAGAAATAGCTATTTCCCAAGACATTCACAAGTTTGCATCACTGAAAACACCAATAAATTCTCGAAAGACTATATTACATGTCAATTTACAAAATTCACTATTAATCCAGTAATGCACACAGGCAGGAGTGTACCTCCCTGCATCTTTCAGCTACAGCACTTTGTGCAGTCCTTTCATGTTCCGAACTGTCTCTCGTTATGTGCGGACTTCGCTTATAAACAAAGCATCAGAGAGAAGTTTTGTTGTTCTTGCTTTTTTTTTAGTACACTATACAGTAAAATCTGAAGCAGGTCAAAGGCTGGGATTTTTATTATGAGAACAAGGCAAAAATCATTTAATTAGTTGACATATTCTTCTCTAATACATAATTATTTCCCAGCTACTCCGTGACATCACTTTGAAGAACAGAATTATTCAAGACCAACTACATGAGAAGAGCGCAGAAGGATGGATATACGTACTGGTGAGATGGCACCTAAAGAAGTGAATGGGTTACGTCAGCCTGGGGAAGCTGGTGAGGTATAGTAGAGGTGTTGGTGCACACTGTGAACAAAGGAGAATGCCAGTGGCTCAGAGGAGAAAGAAGGCAAGGCTGAACCCTCGGTTCTGCGTCAGTTCTTTATCTCTCTATCTTTCTTTTGGTCCGTCTTCCACAAACATACCCAGAACCTCTTCCCTGATAATTTATGCACTGCAACTTCTTTCCATTTCAAATCACACCTTCATCCTTGCCCAAAATAATCTTCCAAGATCTTGCTTACAAGAGGATTTTTCATGAAGTACATTCGCTTTTAAACCACTCTTTCTACGAACTCTCCCCATCATCCTCCACTGAAAACACTTTTCTGCGAAAGTAAGTAGTGGTACGGAGCCAAGTGGACATCCTGTCCCAAAACGCAAAATAACAACCCTGTGTTTAGGAACTCAATTTTCAACCGACTAGCTACCGAGCTCATGAATCTTAAATGATTGTGTACTTGTGGAAATACAATAGTGGCTCTTAAACCATTGATATATTTTGCAAAATTTTATCAAAGGAGTTTAGTAAGTTAAAAAACATTAAGAACATTTTTTTAGAAGAGAAAAGAAAGCTTCGGAGCTAACATTATGTGTGTTGTACCATTCACCTAAACTCATAAGATGTTTTTTGTATTCCTTTTTCTGTCACTCATCTCATTTATTCTCCTTCGTGGTGTAATCCCCCCTAGTGTCTTGTCTTGTCTCCTGACAGGCTGCAAGCTCTTCAGAGCAGGCACAATTGTCTTACTTGTTATATAAATCAAGTTACATGGTAATGTTAAATTATAATGTTTTGACAGGATTTTTAAGTTGAACCTGATTATATGAAACAATAGAACACTCTGATTTTTTTTTTCCTGAAATTTTCTTCTTAAAAAAAAGATACAAGAAAAGGAGAAGTAGGGGGTTTATTTCCCATGTTTTTTAAAAATTTATTGTTTTCCTCCTACCTGTCTTTCAGGGACAGCAACTGAAA